GCGTGCGCCACAACGGTCTTGCACACGGTGCTGCTGCAGCAGAGGTTTCTGCGTGCACCACGGCGCCTGTGTGCACCCCGATGCCTGTGCACACCACAGGAGCCACAAACACCACAGCGCATGGCGAACATTTGCGCCACAGCGCTTCCGTGCACCTCCAAGGTCCCGCCGGGGCCCAAATCTGGAAAATCCCCAAGGGCCCAGCCCGAACGTATCAAATTCAATATGTAAATTATTTGTGGTTATTGATTTTTCTGGCCCAGGGTGCGGTCCCCCCGTTTTTGGCCGACCATGTCTGCGTACACCACAGCGCCTGTCTAGCGTGCGCCACGACGCCTTTGTACACCACAGACTGCCTGTGTACACGACGACGCCTATGTGCACCACGTTTGCTGCTTTAGCACCATACTCGTGCACAACAGCTCCAATGCACCAAAGTGCTTGTGTACGCCATAAAACTGCGTACGATTCCAGGGCCCCCGGCGGGACCGAACTCCAGAAAATCGCGGGGGATCCGAACGTATCAAATCCAATATGTAAGTTATGTGTGAAAATTGTTTTTTCCTGCGAAGGGAACGGTCCTGTTTTTCGCCTGTGTATACCAGAGCGAATGTGTGCACAGCAGCGGATGTGTACACCGCAACGCCCGTGTACATCATCAAGTGTGGTACACCGCAGTGACCGTGCACCACAATGCTTCTGTACACCACCATGTCTGGGATGCCTGCGTGGATGAAAACTGACGTTGCGGGAACAGCGTTGCACACCACAAAGCCTCTCTTCACCAAATTGCCTGGTGCATCACGATGCCCGCGTGCACCGCGCGACCTGCGTGCACTTATGCTTGCGTGCGCCACAACGCCTGCGTACACAACAGATCCTGCTGCAACAACAGCAAATGCGCGCACCAAATCGCTTCGTTGCTTGTGCACAACGCATGCCTGTGTACGCGCTGCTCACGTGCACCTCCAGGTGCCTATGGACGACGTCGTCGTCGTCGTCGTCGTCGTCGTCGTCGTCTGTCGTCGTCTGTCGTCGACTGTCGTAGTCTGTCGTCGTCTGTCGTCGTCTGTCGTCGTCAGCCGTCGTCGTCGTCGTCGTCGTCGTCGTCGTCGTCGTCGTCGTCGTCGTCGCCTCCCCGTGCCACTCCAAGCCCCAACGATTCGCCATCGTGCATCAAAACACCAGCATGCCAAGGCGACCACCACCGTACCGTTGAACACAACGTTCCGTGCGAGCTCCCTACGCCCCCCCCCCCCCGGACCTGCACAGCCAGCTAGGTTAGCTTATCCTGGAGGGGGGGGGGGCGAGCCCGGTAATCCGGGTTATCGCCGAACCCAAAAAAACAGTCTCCAAGCACGCCTGGCACGGGGCTCGTCGCGTCGGCGATGAGCACGCAGCAGCTGAAGGCAGGCGTGCGCCTTGGAAGCCAAACGCTCTGCACCTGTGTTTTCGATGAATGTGTGTGCCTGGTGGGCAGCACATCTCATGAAAGCTCGTGTGTCCCGAACGCGTCCAGGAGAGACGGGATCAAAGGCGTCATCGGCAATGGGCTCGCCCATGAAGTCAGGAAACTCGGGTGTTTGGAAATCCAGATCGGCGCGGGTGGCTATCCAACTCTAAGACCAAGTCCGACGAACGGTTTCAGACACAGGAAGACAGGAGCATGGTCAGAAGGCCTTCTGCGGTCAGTGGCGGCCCAGGCAATGTAGTAACCCCCAAATCCATAAGAACATCTGGTGGGATATTGGCAGAGAAACGATCCAGTCTAGCATGCGATGCGTCGTGCTCGGCGGCGCGGCGATGAGCATCCATCGGCTTCTCCTGGGGAACATCTCATCGAACAATAAATTGACTCCCGAACCTAACCAATGCGATCAGAACCGTTGCGAACCGCAAAACGATCTTCACCAGATACGAGAGAATTTGAATCTTCGACAATCGAGCACGCGTTGAAGGGGGAGGAGAGGTCATAGATGATCGCGAACATCATCTGCAGAGCGCATGCTTCCGTCCACACTGTGTCAGTGTGGAGGTTGACAACCTGCACGTTGCCAGCGTAACTGGATGAAGAGAGCATTGTAACCCTGCACTCATGGACGACATACATACAGCGAGAGGCAAACTGCTGGATCAGGGCACGTCGAAAGAAGAAGAAGAAGAATAAGAAGAAGAAGAGGATGCCACCTGCGCTCTGAGATTAGCAGAAGGAGTCTTCCACCACCATATCTCTGTGTAAGCCTCACACAGAGTTTCCAAGCTCCCTTCGTGACCGTGACTCTCTTGGAAGCACAGGATGGCGTAAGAGCGAAGGACGGGGAGAGACGCCTGCACTCGCGGCGGCTGCGAGCGCGAGAGGCGGCGATCGAGCCGAGGAGCGCCCAGGCATTCCAGGAGGAGATGGAACAAACACTGGCTGGCAAGAAGAGGCGACTTGCCTGCTTCTGCGGGGCGGTTCCTTTATCCCTGATCCAAGCAGGCGAAGTGAATCAGAGGACGATCCACCGGCCGAGTGGCCCAAAATGGGCGCGGGTGGCGAACTCTCGTCCCCTGGCGGAGCCTGTCAGGTCACGTTCGGGATGTTGTTGTTCGCGGCGGCGATGGAGTTAATTGCGGAAACGTCGAGGCCCCATTGCAAGATCTCCACCTCGTCAGCCTCGGAGAGATACTGGTCATCGCTGGTGCGCACGAGCTGGATGATGGGCCACATGTCCTGTTTGCCGGTAAACGACACCACGCCCGTGTAGCCGTTGACGCGGATGTAGCAGCTCTCTGTACAGTGCGCCAGGTTCTTGCACGTGGCCTCGACCTGCTGGGTAAACATAGGCGAAGTTTTTACCGAGCGCGGCGCTATGGTAGGATATCACCTCGCGCGCATCTCGGTGACCTTCCCAGCGCGGTTGTTGGTGCACTGCGAGCCCTGCTGCGAGTAGTGGATACGAAAACGACAAGCAGCGTCAGAGGAAGGGAACTGGATCATGTAGGTTTGGCCAGTCTCGTGGATGTGTGCGGCGGCGTCCTGGAGGGCCTCCGCATAGATCGTCTTAAGCTGGTCGTAGTTGCATCACCGTCCCTGACGCTGGGCGTGGCCAAGTGCCAAGTGCCAATGAACACCTTTGCAGGATCATTTCCATGTGGCTGGTTCCCTTTGGCGTCGATCATGCGGCGTCTGCTCCCAAAGACGCTCGCCACTGTGGACGCTGCGGGAGGGCGCAACCGTTGGAGCCACGGAGGCATTAGCGGTCTGCCTCTGCAAGCTCTTGATGGCTTTGTCCTGGGCGGCAATTCGGGCGTTGAGGCGTTGACAGGCGCGAAAACAATCGTGAGAGCACTCTGGACCTTCGTGTCGATGGCAGCGTGGAGAGTTTTCTCCAGGTTATTCTGCATTTGCTCTAACATGATGGCGATCTCGGCAGCCGTCGCCATGGCTGCTCCGGGGCTGGTGTGGAAATCAAAAGGCAATCCCGCGGCTGAACCTCTTGGACCGACGTTGGAAGTTAAGAAGCAGGCTCCTTGAGCCAAAATGGCATCGGAAGCCTGGGAGGAAAAGGAGGAGGAGGAGGAAGAGGAGAAGCCACTTTCCAGTCTATCAGAGCGGCCAATAACGTTTTGGGGTAGCCTCCCCCAATATCCCCTTCCTTCTGCTTTGAACTGGGAAGGAGGAGGCGGAAGAAGAGGAGATTAGTCCGATCAGCCAGCTAGCCGCCACCGCTACACCATGTGGATGGGGATGGGTAGCGAGGAGGGTGGGATAGTCGGGCCACCCAGGTGCCAGCCGCCCCTGGCGTTGGCCAGAGGCGACAGCGGACCAAGTGCGGCCAGCTCAAGTCACTGCCGCCACTGTCGCCGCAGCCCTCCCCCCTCCTCCACCTCCTCCTCCTCCTTCTTGAGTGCTTTCGTCGCAGGGCTCCTTGCAGGCCCTCCGTTTCGTCGTTCCCCTCTCCCTTGGCGGCGCCACCCACCTTTACTTTTGCTACGCGGCGCAGCCAAAGCCGTTCCCGCTCCCCCTGGGCGGGGGGGCAGCGTTGTGATCAACCTTGATGCCTGCGCAGAGCCGAGTCGGGTCGGGTCGAGGAGGAGGAAGAGGAGGACGACGACGACGAGGAGGACGAATAGGACGACGAAGAGGAGGAGGAGGAGGAGGAGGAGGAGGAAGGAGGAGGACGAGGAGGAGGAGAAGGACGAGGATGAGGAGGACGAGGAGGGAGAGGAGAGAAGGAGACCATCGTAGGAAGAGGAGTCGTCCACGACCACGGCCAGAGACCCCGCGGCCTCCGGCCCCATCTGGACGCCGTGCTGGCCGAAATTGTCCGCAGCAGCAGCGGAGGAATCGGGAACGACAGACACGGCGGCAGCCGAGAACACATGCGACACGATGCAACGTTGATGATCATGAGGCGGCACAAGCCGAGAGACGACGCCATGATTCAGTCCGCTCTCAGAGCACGCTCCACCCGCAGGGCCGAGACCAGGGGCCGACCACTTTGCGGGGAGGGGGAGAAGGAGGAGGAGAAGGAGAGGAGGAGGAGAAGGAAGAGAAGGAAGAGGTGGAAGAGAAGGAAGAGGAGGAAGAGGAGGAGGATGAGGAGGAGGAGGAGGAGAAGGAGGAAGAGGAGGAAGAGAAGGAAGAGGAGGAAGAGGAGGAGGAGGAGGAGGAGGAGGAGGAGAAGGAGGAAGAGGAGGAAGAGGAGGAAGAGGAGAGGGAGGCGGAGGAGGCGGAGGAGGAGGAGCATGGGTGCGCATGAGGGGGTGGACTCCAGGCGCGTCAGGGCGCGTCACAGGTCAACGAGCTCGGGCTGCCATCGCGCGGTCGCGGGCCGTCGCGTCGGCCATCACGTGGACGTAGTAGATGGACCCGCACTCCGAGCGGATGGAGAAGGAGGAGGAGGAGGAGGACGACGACGACGAAGAGGTGGAGGAGGAGGAGGAGGAGGAGGAGGCCACACGATCCGCAGTGCCCGATCGCGCACGGGCGAACCCTGGGCCACCGAAGCGCCGACGCCGCGAAGAGCTTCAGGTCCCGGTTCAGCCGGCGCACCTTCCGGAGGCACCGGATGCTGACCTCGCGTCGACGCGGCGTCAGAAATCCCCCAAAACAGGACATTGCTGGCCAGGACTTTGAACATTCCGCGTGGGAAGAACGAAGAGCGGAGATTGTTTCGACCCACGGCTGCAATTGTCTGGGGCGTGCCACTGTCCTGGTTCATCAAAGACCCCGCTTCAGGAACCCTGACGGCGGCTCGGGGCGGCCCCGACGGCTGGCCTGGCCCAGGGAGAGCGTATCTACTAGCACGGCGCAGGCCCAAATTCTCCCTTGAGATCCGGGCGATGCATTTCTTTCACACCAGGCGTTTTCGCCCCGAATCGGGCCCTGCAACCACCACACATCGATCCGGCTCGACAAATGCGCCATGGATGTTTTCCCTGTGGGAGCACGAGCGAACAATACCATGCCAAAGTCCCATGGTGAAGCATGCCTGCTGAGAGCGCAGCCATCGCCGGACAGACCTGACCGCAACGGCCAACGTTGGCTCCCCCAAACTGCTAGGCATGGCCGTGGTGGGCGGAGGGCAGTAATCACGAAACGCCGAGCGTCTGCGTTGGCGAGGAGGAGGAGGAGGAGGAGGAGGAGGAGGAGGAGGGGGAGGAGGAGGAGGAGGAGGGGAGAGGAGGAGGAGGAGGAGGAGGAGGAGGGGGAGGAGGAGGGGGAGGAGGAGGAGGAGGAGGAGGAGGAGGAGGAGGAGGAGGGAGGAGAGAGGAGGAGGAGGAGGAGGAGGAGGAGGAGGAGGAGGAGGAGGGGGAGGGGCGGGAGGTTCCTGTGCAGGTTCCCAGAGAGATGGGGTTTAGGGTTCAAAGCGTGATCGCTCGCAACGTCGGACCTCCGGGGAGAGCACGCCGCCCGGCACGACGCAGGCCCAGATCTCCGACGGATGTGCCCTGCCAATCCGTGCGTCATCTGTCCCAGATCTCGGGCCCAGGGGACCCGAGGAGGCAGACCCAGATCTCCGACGATGTGCTTTTCCTAATCCGATCGGTTCGCCTCAATTGCGGGCCACTGGGCCCCGCTCATCGGGCCCTGGGGCCATCAGAGACGGGTCTAAGGGGGCCCAGGCGAGCGCGCGTCGAAGGGACCCCCCCAAGAGTAAAGCCAGAAGTGGCACAGCACTCGCACAGCGGCAGCCCCGCCGCGGGACAGCCCTCCCGAAGCGAAGGAGGAGCCCGAAGACCGCAGCCTGGCGAAGGAGGGCAGTGGCGCAGCGGCGGCGCAGCATCGAAGCAGCTGCAGGAAAGGGCAAGAAGCAGCAGCAGCAGCAGCAGCAGCAGCAGCAGCAGCAGCAGCAGCAGCCCATCATGGGTCCAGGGCGAGCAGCGGGGCCCAAAGAGCAGGGTCGGGGCTTTTCGGGCAAGCCTCATCGCAAGATCTCGGGGGACGGCTCCCGAGGGACATGGGCCCTGGATAGGCAGAGGGATTTCGCCACGTGATGCGAAGTTCCCCCCTCCCCACCGAATCCCCCTTCCTTTTCCTCCTCTTTATCTCCTCCTCCTCCTCCTCCTCCTCCTCCTCCTACCCTCCTCCAATTCACATCACGTGACGGATCCACGTCGCCGACTGGGCCCAGGGGCCTCCCCCCACGACCGGCTCTCCGCCCCGAGTCGCTCTCTGGCAACTGCCGCCAGCTGCCAGGGCAGCAGCCGCTTCTGCGGCCGCTGCCGGCCACGGGCGCCCCCTCCTCCCTCCCCTCCCCTCCCTGCTTCCGGCGCCCCTGCCCCCCTCGCCGTCCACCCAAAAAAAGGAGAACTCCAAACGAAGCAGGGCGGATGCACCTTTCGGCGATTCGCCGGTGTCCTGGGGCCAGGAAGCTCCGCGGGACGCGCACGGAAAATCCGAGCGCATCTGATCTCTGGGGCGTGTTCTTGCCCTGGGCCCCCCCCCCCCCCGCGACGAAACCACTCTTCGCGTCCGCGGGCCACTGAAGCACCCAGCCGACTGGTGATGCAGCAGCATCCGCTGGCGGAAAGCTGGCGGAGGGCGGCGGGAACAAGAGCAAGTCGTCAACGCTTCTGGATTCAGGGCTCGGTCCCTGGAAGTGAATCGATGAAAATATTGCAGCTACAGCTCTGAGACTCTCACCAGCGGACGCAGCGTACTTGAATGCTCACAAGAGCAATCTTGGATGCAACATCGAACTGTGAAATCTCTTAGAATCTCCCAAAAACCGCAAGCACGGATTCTCCATGTAAACTTCAAGTCAGTTCATTCCCGGAGCCGGCCATCCCCGGAGGTCTCACCAGAGGTCCGCCGAGGCCTCGGGAAGTACCCTGGGATCCCCCAAGGAGGGCCAAGCAGCACCCGAGACGGCCCGAGGCCTCGGAGTGGAAGCCCTGGGGAAGAGGAGGAGCGGTCCAGGCGGATGCGGCGCGGCGTGGAGAGGCGCGAGGGCTGCAGCGGTGCTGCTTCGGTGCCCGGACAAAGAATGTCTACACCCACTGCGGCAAGACGATGCATCACGACGCCAACCGCAGCTGCGCAGTGCCCTTGCTTCGCACCCCTCCCCCGAAACCCAAAGTCGAAGTGTCCACGGTTCGTCCCTGGCCATTGGCCTGCCTCCCAACCCCGTCAACTTCCCTGCTGGGCCACGGCGCCTCCTGCCTCTCCTTCTTGTCGGAGTAGTACACCTCGTCCATCTTGCTCTTCAGCTGCCGGATGACGGCGGCCGCCGCGACCAGCACCTGGCACCGGCTCAGTGGGCCCCCCCTGGGCGCCAACTCCGTCGGCCGCCCTCCTCCCTGCTGCTCCCCCTCCTCCTCCTCCTCCTCCGCCTCCTCCTCCTCCTCCTCCTCCTCCTCCTCCTCCTCATTCCTCATTCCTCACTGCTGCCCCTATCTCCTCCTCCTCCTCCCCTCTCCCCAGAAACCGTTCCACCTCCCAATATCTCCCAGTGTCGCTGCCGCTGGTGGCGCATTTGCCGAGTGACCTGCCGCATCGCCTCCTCCTCTTCCTGCTCCACCTCCACCTCTCTCCTTTCCCCTCTCTGCGCTTACACAGTACGAAAACATTACGAAAACTACTATTCTCCTCTCTCCCCTGACCCTGTCATGAAGATATCCGGGTCTCCCCTCGCATCTTTCACACGCCGGATTTCAAACATCATTTTCCTGCTGCGTTTCGCAATCCGATTGCCTTTGGTGTGCCGAGGTGGTGCTCCCGCCGCAGCATGACCCGCATTTTCCGATCGGCGCTTCGCTCCCGCCGCTTGGAATGGCGCTCCCGCCCCAGCGTGGGGCATTTTTCTGGGCCCACGACCTTTTTCATCGTCGTCGCCCCCCTAAGTTCGGCTCCTCCGCCTCCTTTGATTCTTCTGCTCCTTCCACTCCCCACTCCAGCTCCTGCTGCTGCTGTTCATCCTCCTCCTCCCCCTCCTCCTCCTGCCCATCCTCACGCTCATCCGCCACCTCCTCCGCCAATGTATGCAGCTCCTTGTTTTGCACGATTGCGCATAACTCGATGGGGTCCTCGTTGAAGCTCCAGGTCCGCCATGACACGCGTCGGCGGATAGAGAAGAAAACGTGCAACGGGAAGGGATAGATGGCAGAGTAGGCTGCTAGACATGGCGCGAGCGATCCCAGCTTGCCTCTCTTCTCTCTCCTCTCTCCCCCCTCCCCTCTACACTCACATCCGTAGCCATTTTGGCTCAACCTGCCGTCCCGGCCCGAGAGGTTCTGGGCGCCGTACCAGGTACGGCGAACCTCTCTCTTCCAGGACTGCCGCCACACGCGCTCGCCCGCCCGCAGCGCCGCTGGGGCCAGCCGTGCCCCTGCCTCCTGCCACGACGCCTAGGCGCAGGAGCGGGGAAGACCCAGCGTGGCATCGCCGCCAGAGAAAAAAAATCGCAGTCGAGCCCGCGCACTTGTGCAAGTCGCGGCAGCGGCTGATCTGTTGCAGCGACATCACAGCAGCAACATGTCGCATCGAGGCGGCTCGCGGGCGCCAGCCATGCCGCCTCCCCAGACGCCCATCGGTGCGGCCCCGGGCCCATGGCAGGGGCAAAGGGCGCATTGGCATCCTCAGATGCTGTCCCCTTCAGGCCAATGGACGACGCTGCCGCCAATGCCGCTGTTCGCCCCGCCGCCCATGCCGCCGCAGCACCCGCCGCAGCGGCCCTCCCCTCAGCCACCCCAGCAGATGCAGCAAGCCCCGCAGCCATGGACCTGTCCCCAGTGCCAGTACCTCAATGGGCCACACGTGTGGAAGCCCAGTGCGGCCGACACGAAGAAGGCCAAGAAGGGGCAAAAGAGGGAGCAGAAGCGTGCCGAGCGCGAAGCACGGAAGGCCGAGGCGGCGGCCCCGGCGGCCGGTGCCAACGTTGCAGCTCCGGGCCATGGTGCCGCAGCCGCCCCCAGGGCAGCCGCCCCAGGTGGGCTCGAGCCCATCCCCGAAGGCAGCGAGGGCAGTGGCGGCAGCTCGGCGCCTGGCACGCCAAAGCGGCTTCCGCCGAGGGCGCTCTTCGAGCCTGCCCCAGGCACTCCCACCCCAGGCACCCCCGCCCCAGACTCATCGCCGCTGGCACCGGCCCCCAGCTTCTCGCCGCTTCGCCCCGCAGCGCAGCCTTCGCCCTTCCGTGAGCCTATGGGGGTCGATGTTGCGCAGGACGCCTTTGGCAGGCACCTCGGTGCCCGCTCGCCGTTCGAGGCGCAGGTGGCTGGCAGCCCTGTCGCCTTCGAGCCCCCGGCTGATGGCGACTTTGCCATCCAACCCGCCATGCCCGCAGTTGCCCAGCAGCACGTGGCCTGGGCACCCCCGCCAGCGGATCCCGCCGCCTACGAGAGGCACCGTGTGCTCCTCAAGGCCGCCCTGCAGGCCATGGGTACGCAGCTGCTCACCGCTCAGAAGCTCCATGCCCCCCAGCCTCGGCTGACGGCGCTGGAGGAAGAGTATGCTGTCCTCCTGTGTCAGGTCATCATGGCCCGTCCTCATGAGGAGCGCGTCTCCCAGCAGGCCGATTTCGTCCTGCGGGCCGAGGCCCGATTGGCCAAGGCCGAGCAGAGCGAGCAAGAGGTCCGCGACGAGCTTGCCTCCGCCGAGCGTCGCACCTCGGACTGCAAGGCCGCTCTGGCCAGGGCCAGCGAGATGCTGTCCCAGCTCCGGTTGATTGGCCCCTCCGAGGCGGAGACCCAGGCCAAGGCCGCGGCCGAATGCAAGGCCAAGGCCGACGCGGCAGTGGATAGCAAAGTCCCTGGGCACGACGAGGATGAGCTCATGGAGGAGCCCGACGACGGCAAGCAGCGCCGCACAGGCCCTGGGCCAAGCGGAGCCGCAGACGCCGCCAAGGACCTCTCGCCGCAGTTGCCACCTGCGACCCCCATCACCGTGATCGCTTCCATTCAGGAGGAGCAATCGCAAGTGCGGAGGCAGCTCGCCCAGCTCTCCCAGCAGCTGCAGGTCATCTCGTCCTCCCTTGGAGGGCCTGCGCCTGCTGCCCCAGCTGACTGCGATGGCAGCGAGTGCGGCCAAGGCCGCCCTGATCGCCAAGATGGGCCAGGCTGCCCCGCCCCCTGCCAGCCCGCCGCCGATGCAAGCCGCGGCGGCCGCTGTTGCAGCCGAGCCGGTGGCAGCAGCTCCACTCATGCAAGGCGCCCTTGCCCCTCGTGGACGCCGAGGCCATGATCCTCGGCCTGATGAGGACGAGGAGGCGCCAGTCGACCCGCGTCAGCGTTCGCGCAGTGCCCCCCCGGCTGTCGGAGTGGCTGAAGATGCTGATGCCGCTGTCGGAGATGCCGGCGCCATGATCGGCCCCGCTGACGAGTATCAGCCCGGCGCGCTTGCTGCGGCTCGCGAGGGCGCTGCGGCGGCAGCCGCAGCACCAGCACCAGCAGCGGCCCCGCCCTCAGAGGACGGCCCTGTCGGAGTCGGCCGGGCTGAGGGATGGCACCCGGGCATGGCGCCGCTTTTTGCGGTCGCCCGAGGGGCCTCAGAAGCGGGCTAGATGGGCGGGAGCAGGCCGCCGCCGTCGCCGCGGCCTGCCCGCAGGACTCCGCGCCCAGCAGCCCAATCCCAGATTGCGCGAATGTCCTCGACGCCCTCCTTGCCCCCTGGCCCTTCTCCTTGCGCCCGTTTTGCCCAGCACACCTTGTTTCTTATCTACACAGCAGCGCCAGAGAGGCGGTTGGTCAGCTCAATCCGGATTTCTGGGAAGCCAATGAGTTCAGGGCCATGCACATATACACTGACGGTTCTGGAGGCTCCGCCGTTCCATCGCTTACAGGACCGCCGTCGTGGTCATTTGTTGTGTTTGGCGAGCTTGCCGCAGGACAGCTCGTGTGCCTAGGCTATCTTGCACAGCCAGTTCCATCTCTCCAAGATCTATTTGTTCGGCCTTCCACAGCAGCCGAGTTTGAGGGTGGCTTATGGGCTTGTCTCTGGGTGCTCTCGCAGCCTTGGCACATGCACGTTCCTGTCACATTTCACACCGATAACATCATGGTCGTTCGTACGGCACGCAGTGGCACACTGTTTCAAGCATGCGGCGACTACCCCGTCTTGCTGGACGCCGTCACCCGGGTCTTGCGGGCACGCTCGCCTCTGTATGCTTGTTTGCACGTCGACGGCCACGCAGCGCACCCGTGGAACGAATTAGCAGATACTTTAGCAACACTTGCATCGCAAGGGCTATTGGATATTCCCCTGCACGATTTCTCACCAGCTGCGCCGCTGCTTACGTCAGGTACTCGCCTACCTTGGATATGGATCACGGCAGCGGCCGCACATGCCCCTGACATCAGCTTGCATCCTACCACCCCTGCCAGATTGATGCCGCCGGGTGAACAGCTGACGAACGTCTGCCAGTTATTTGCGCAGCAAGTGGTGGAGAGGTCAGCGTCGACGAGTGCGCCCCCTCATGCTGCACACGTAGTTCGCGTTGCTGTCGCCACTGTCCTCACCCTGAGCCTCGCGAGGAAGGGCAAGAGCAAGACCAGCCTAGTGGGGGTCACGTTGCCCGGCAGACTTCTGGGGCTAGCTGCGCAATTTGCCAAGGCTGGCTATTTACTTGTGGGCGCCCCCGAGTCTCGGTCGCCAAGGGGCTGCAAAGTCCAAGCTGATCCCTATTTTATTCTGCACGCTGCCGCTGACCATCGAGGCAAGGGCGGGGTCTCGTTATGGGTCCACCTGGGCTTGGAATATCAAGAAGGCCGTCGATTTCAACGCTCGCATTTCAGGGTGTTGTATAAGTCATCGTCGGTTCTTCTGGTTGCAGTGCGGGCGCCAGGGCTCTATTGCGATATTATTGTTGCTCATGCCCCTCATAGTCGTCGGCCCGCTGCTGAACAGCGCACGTGGTGAAAATTACTCAGCAGTGTCTTGCAACATCGCACTGCGCCATGCCCTGTGCTGGGGTTGACGGATGCTAATAGTACGCTCGGATCAGTTTGTTCGGCCGCTGTTGGGCCCTACCATGCTGCAGAGCAAAATGTTCCCGGTGACTACTTTCACAAGTTCCTCTTAGACTTCCACCTCTGTGCGCCTGCTACTTTGGCCCCTGCCGCGTCAGCACAGACGGGCACGGGGAGGTCCCCATCTAAGTCCCCGAGTTCCCGGGTCACCCATCGGATTGATTATGCGTGCGTTCCACATTTTTTAATCGCGCCAAGTTGGTGGCATCGCGCCTGCTTCATGACAGCGACGCCCGTGGGCAATTCATTCAGGCCCTCGCCGAGGTCCCGCAGGTTGCCTT